AGGTAAAGGCAGGATGGGAGCTGGAGTTTTTGCAAAATCTCAAACCTGGGCTCTTCCCGTGACTGATTAGCCATGATCTCGTCCTCACAAAGTGAGGGTCCTGGTTGGAGAAGTGAGGCCCCTGTGTGTGGAGAAGTGCACCCCAACACCCCTGAAGTCGAGCCTGTGAGCCCAGCGGGGGACAGCACACAGCCCATGCCCGGATCTTTCGGGCAGGGATATCGAGCGGCCTCTCAGCCCAGCCCAAGGTCACCATGTGGAGTGTGAGCCAGAGTGGAACCCAGCGTTTTATGTGATATCTCACCTTTTTAAGGTTCAGATTACTTTTAAACGTTTTGAGGGTCATACAAATCCTATCATAGGCCACCGTCTTGCCACCTTTGGTTCAAGGGTTTCTGGCTGCCAAGGGGTCAGAGATCTCATCCGCTGTGACTCACCCAGCAACTCCGTGTGGTTGGCCAGGTGGGGAATTAACTCATGTTAAGGTTCGTTGACCCATTCATGGTTTTTGAAAACGATCCTAAAGCTCCTGCTTGGTACCTGGCTGTGTGCTGGGTACTGCCCGGAAGCTCAGCCTATTGACCAAGGTGGAGCAAGGGGGCAGAGGGGCCGCGGGAGCCCGAGGCCAAGGGGCTACTTAGGAGCTCCTGGTTTAATAAGGACTGTTACTGTCCCTGTGCAGGGGTGGTGAGGGGCCGGCGGTGGGACTGTGTCAGCAAGCCTACCCTGTCAGGTTTTTCGGGAGGGGAGGGTGTCAGACTCGTAGCTGGCATTGCACACCTGGCTGGGAGGAGAGCCACATCCCAGGGATTCCGGGAGATGCCGTGAGTGTCAGGCCCTGGTGCTTGGCAGAGTCATCGACAGTGTTATTGGGCAGGGATGTTATGTGGCTGGAGGAGGACAGGGTGGGGTGCTGAGTGCCTGGACCTCAGGGGGCCCCAGATGCATCCAGGTGTGTCAGGGCATGTGGGGCGGAAGAGGAGGCTGACGGGGAATTTGGGCCTCGTGTCCACCTCTGAGCTTCTTCCTGAGGCAGACTCTCTGGTGTTTGGCCAGGGCTGTGTTTCTCAGGTGGGGACCTCAGACCGCTGCCCTGGGGGTGCGGGGCAGGCTGGCGAAAGCAGGTGCTGGGCTTCCCTGGCCTCTTGGGGCGCCTGGGAATCCAGTGTTCGCCAGCTCCTTGCAGCAGCAAGGCACCCCAGGCCTCCATCTCTAGGAACCTCGGGGATGTCTGTGTGTCTCCTTCCCTGCCCCTTGCCTGCGTGGCTGTGCACCTGGGGGTGGGGGCGGGGGTCTCGCCAGGGCCACTGCCCTGCTCGGTCCTATTGGCCAATCCCATCAGAGAGCTGCCCGGCCTCTCCATTCTGCCACCCCAACTCCCCTTTCTTCTCCCTCAGACAATGTGGACGACCCAACGGGCAACTTCCGCGGCGGGCCACTGACAGGGTGGCGGGTATTCTTGCTGCTGCTGTGCGCGCTCCTGGGCATCGTCGTGTGTGCTGTGGTGGGCGCCGTGGTGTTCCAGAAGCGGCAGGACCGCAACAAGCGTTTCTACTGAGCAGCCGGCGCTCGGCTTGAGGGGCTGGCCTTGGGCCCTGGCACCAATGTGAACTTTTTACTGGGATTGTAAAAGAAAAACGAGACAACCTTATTTCTTAACAGTTTCAAAGAAATAATTAAAGTATTTTCATACATTTTGCTTCTTGCCCAGCAGGGACAGGCTTCAGGGCTGGGGAATTAAAGATTTGGCGTCCCCACAGTCGGGACAGAGGCCCTGGCCAGTTGCCAGCATCTCAGGAGCAGGGGCTCTGAGTCTGGAGCTGGGCCGAAGCCCCAGTAGATGGCTGTTGAACACTGGAGGCCCCCGAGCCACATGGGGGTAGGCGCCTGAGGATGTGAGCAGTGAGTTTGTTCTGTGCTGCGTGCCATGTGGGGCAGAAGAGGAGACTGATGGGGAATTTGGGCCTTGTGTCTACCTCTGAGTTTCCGCCTGAGGCAGGCCCTCTGATGAGATGGGAGGAGCAGTTTTGTGGGGCCTAGAGCGTGACCATTTGCTAAATAAAGTGACATAACCACCCTCAGCTGTGTGACTGCCCCGAGGGGCTTTTCTTCCCCGCCCCCAGTACCTTCCCTGCTCTCAGCCTCATCCTCTCAGGCAGATGCTGTGCTTCCGAGGGGCTTTTCTTCCCCGCCCCCAGTACCTTCCAGGCAGCCAAGCTTCCCTGCTCGCAGCCTCATCCTCTCAGGCAGATGCTGTGCTCTCTGTTCCCAGGGAGCAGATACTGCTCTCAGAGGTCAAGGAAAGCTTGCCCAGTGCCACATAGTAAGTGGGGTCATGGAGACAAGACCCTGTGCCATCTCCCATATGCTCTGGGCCCCTGGATGAAAAAGTCCAGGGAGAGGATTTAGGCTACCTTGCAGAGGGTGTGAGCTCAGTCCAAGGAAACTCTAGGGGTTTCTGGGATGATCTGAAGGGAGTGGTTGCAGGAGGACGGTGGGGTCAGTGGTGGTATTCCCTTTGCGGTGCCTCAAGGGGACAGAGATGGCACAGGGAGTGGAAAAAAGCCAGCAGCTGAAAGGAAGCGCCGCCATCTGGTTCTTTCTACAGAGCCACGACCTGCTGCTGCCATCTGGTCCCCCTTCTGACCACCCCGACCCCACCTCGGAGCAGTGTGTCCCTGTCTAGTCCAGAGCCACCTCCAGCATCCGTTGAAGATGCTGTTGCAACCAGGCTTTTTATAATTAACACTCAATTAGAGTCTCACTGTAAAAAGTAGAGAAGATGAAGAGTAAGAACTTAGATCCCCTCAGCCTCTCAGTCTCACTCTTAGAACTCTTCACTGGTCTGTTGACCGTCTCTTGTCACCCTCAGTGATTCACAGGGTAGGCATTGGGAGATGGTTCGCACACCAAGAGGTCTGAGCTGTTTCCCTCACATATGCCTGGGATCCTGTTGATGAAGCTGAGAGTAGACATGGTCCTCCTTATTACAATATTTTATCGAGGATTTTTTCCAAGTTTTTTTACTTGAAAAGTACCTAACTTTGAGTGCTTACAAGACGCCAAGCGAGTTTCTGAGCGAATGACATGTTAACTCATTTCACTTCATGACAGTTACCCATGTGGATGTCAGAAATCCACCAGATCAGGCAGTCATGCCTCACTCACCATTTTCCTCTGGAGGGAGTGCCGTGTCCACACGGACACGCACAGCTGAGGCCTGGAGTCTGGAACTCTCCATGGCTGCTGCTACAGCAAACCGTGTCATCACCACACTTGCCACACTCCACCTTTAATATTTGATTCTAATGTGGCCTTCCTCGAATTCTTGAATTATTAGGCAGTTTGGCATCTGAATGGCTCTCACCTTGACTGCATGTTAGAGGCACTTGGAGAACAAAAGTGAGCTGGCTCATTCTCCAGTTATGTGAGAAGTTGGTAGGTCTTGGGCAAGGGAAGTTTTAGAAGAATCACCTTGGCTGGTTCTGATTAATCTATCGGCTTGAGAGCCAGCAGGTGTTAGACCAGTGAGTTAAGGCAGAGATTGGTGGCCGTGTTCTGTGCTTGGCTGTCAGGATCTTCTTGGCATCCCTTTCAGCTCATACCTAGAGGTGTTTCCCTGGAAGATTAGACATGTCTTTACCGCTGCCTTTTCACACACATGGAGTCCTGATGCCATCATCTACTTTTTCGCCATGGGCATTTAAAAACCAAGTTATTTCTTTATATAAAAGTTAAATATAAATGTGTATTCCTGATCCCTCCATGCAGTGTGAGAAATAAACATTGATACACTTACATTCCTCTTTGTCACCTGCCCTAAATGGGTGCCCTTCCCTGAGGAGGTGATGGCTATTGATTCTGGGTTTTTATATATTTCTTTAAAATGTAAGTATATATCCTGCAACACAGTATTGTTTTGCATCTTTAAAAATTATAATTGGTACACAGAGGTATTCCTCAGCTTTTAAAATTCAGCATTGTGAGTCTGGATTACATGCAGCTCAAGATGTGGCATGAGTGGACTCCATTTGTCCATTCTGCACGGCCGGGCGTCTAGATGGTTCCAGGTTTTTGCTCTTAGTCCCAGTGCTGCTCTAAACGCTCGAGCATGTCTTCACACACAAGTGTGCGAGAACTGCTCGTCATAGCTTATGTGCTTTTCTGTTTTCCTAGTTGTCAGATTGCTCTCCGAAGTGGCTTGTATCCAGTCCACTCCCATCTTGGCGACTGGGACCCTCTCTGCCCTCTTCTTAGCACTTGTTATTGTCGGAGTGCTTAATTTTTGATAGTCTAATGGATGCAAAAGTTTTAACTTGCATTTCTTTACTAGTCAGATTGAGGACCTTGTATCCTCAGAGATGTGTTTGTATTTTCTGCCTGGGGGCGCTAATTTTTCCCCTTTTCTTTTTCTTCTGTCGGATCCTTGGCTCATTGCTTTGCAGACACTGCTCAGTGTACATGTCTTTTTGTTTTTCTAATGATGTCATGCGATACACAGTCTGTGTTTTAATACCATTTACTAATCTTTTCCAAAGATGTTTTTCTCCAAAGTTTTAAAATTTTGCTTTTCAACTGTAGCATTTAATCTACTTAGAGTTAGTTTTTGTGTGGGAAGTGATACCGGGGTTCGATCGTCCCTGCTCTGTCCAGCTCGTTGTTCCAGCACCTTTACTGACTCATTCATTTCTCTGCATGAACCTCAACGCCACCAAGGCGGGTGCTCAGCCAGCCTAGCCCTATCCTGATACGCCTCTTTTGCCTTCCTCCCTGAACACTCAGCTAAACTTTCCAGTTCCTTCTCAGTGGGGATGGCCCTGTGAAAGCGATGCTGGAGGAGAGGCTAGAGGCAGTCTGCCCACCCCACTCTTCCTGCTGGGATGTGACCCCAAAGGTGCAGAGGTCAGTAGTGAACACAGGAGCAGGGTAAAGTGTGGGTCCTTATGAATTGCTGAGGTCTGCTCTAGCCTGGACTGCCCACTGTGGGGCTTTTATGTAAAAAAATAAATCTGTATTTGTTCAAACTACTGTGAGTCATGTTTTCTGTTGTTTGTGGCTAAAAATAAGCCAACCCTGCCTCTGTCTCCGTGTCAAGTTCTCTAACATGTACATGTTTGCTCTGGACTGCAGGTAATATTCACACGCCCACTCTGTGCCACATACTGTTTTGGCCACTGGGACACAACAGAGACCAAAGGAGCAGAAACCTTTGCCCCCTTGAATCTTACAGTCTAATGGGGAAATCAGGTAAATAGGTAAAATAACATGCTATGTTAGTGTTTGTATTCGTTTCTTAGAACTGCCATAGCAACCACAGACTGAATGGCTTAAACAACAGAAATGTATCATCTCCCAGTTCTGGAGGCCGGAAATCCGAAAGCAAGGTGTCAGGTCCTTGCTCCCTCCAATGGCTCTATCGAGGAAGCTTTCCTTGCCTCGTCCTAAGTTCTGGTGATTCTCGGCAATGCTTGGCGTTCCTTGGCTTGTAGACACATCACTCCAGTCTCTGGCTTCATCATTGCATGACATGTTTACATCGTTTTCTGTCTCCAAATTTCCCGTTTATAAGGACACCAGTCATATTGGATTAGCCACCCTGCGTGACCTCATCATAATAGGGTCAGACCTACATAGACCCTTTTTCCAAATAAAGTCATATCCTGAGGTGCTTTTTTGGTGAACACAATTAAACATGATACTGGTTAAAGAGAAAAAGATAGATGATAAGAATCGGGTGGAGATGGAGAAAGACATGTGACTTGGCCAACAACTCAACGGAAAATGAGATGAAAATTCATTGAGACATTCACTTAAAATTTGCTCATTTTTCCATGTGTAATATTTCAATATGTGTTCACTTTAACACATGTATTTCAAAAAGGCAGCTTTATCTTCAGAATCTCACGATTGGTATTTGGCATTTCTTGATTTCTGTCAACAATATTGACAATGCATACGTGAGCTGAAATAGTCTTTTCCATGGCTTTATCGTGATTCATTTTGATTTTCAATTTCAGTTCCATCATGGACTTGAGGCTAATTAATTCAGCAACTCTTTAAATGCCTACTCTGAAATAGGCAGTAGGTAAGGGATCCATAGTTATAGTTCTGGCCTTCACAGATGCAAAGTATGGCCGAGGAGAGAAGACGGTATGATTCAGGGTCCAGTTTGGAAAACACATCCTACCAAGTTTCAGACAGTGGGGGTTTAATACAGGGTGTTGGCTACTGGGGTGTGGGGAGGAGGAATGAGCAAAAGGAGGCCCTAAGATTCCCCAGAAATTCAGTGTAGGAAGCAGACACCTCCCAGAGGGAACTAAAGAGATGATGTTACCAGAACCCTGGGGCTTGGCACTTCGGGTATCCTGGGTCTGTGCTCTAACCTCTGAGACACTAGGACCTGGCGGGAGCCTGGATTTCCCAGGGAGGCACAGCCCAGGGGTTGTGGAGTGGAACATGGTACAGCTGTGCTTCTGCTGACTGACAGGGCAAGGTCTCTGTCGCTGCCAGTGCTGAAGAGGCTGGAGCCAGCTGGCTGCTGCTGATGGCTTTTGAAAAAGGAAGTCAATCCCTTCTGACCACTTCCAGTCTCCACCTAGTACAGCCCTCCACCCCGTGGCAGGACCCACTGGAGGCTGGTGGGCTAAGGAGCCTGGGAAACAGTTCCGAGTTCCAGAAAACAGTTTAGAAAGATGGGCTTGCTGCTGAGAGATGAGGGTGAGTAACCCGTAGGCAGCAGGCGGCTGGGCACGTGGCCAAGCACCCTCAACTGGCCACCGTGCAGATGGCATTCGCAGGGAGAGAAACCAACTGTGCATGCATTGGGGTGGGTTATACAGCTGAACCCGGTCCCAGCTTATCAAAGTGGAACTAGTGATCAGAGGAGATTCTATTACGTAGAAGCAGGGAAAGACATTAAGTGCATAAACTGGTCAATTTCAGGTAAACCTTACAAGTCAGTGAGAGGGAGTCAGATCTGTAGGGAGAGAGTGTTAGGAGGGGACTAGGCAGACACTGGACTGCCTGGCATGAAGCCATGTGGTATTGATGACAGATGCATAACGACCTGGGTGCCGTGACACAGCCTCATCGTCTCAGCTGACCCGCTCCTCAGGCTCCACTGCTCAGCTGAAAACTCCAGATACCTGGAATCCAGAACCAGGATTCTGTCAGGAGCGTGTAGGAGCCTGCCCTCACCGTCATCCTGGGAGGGGCAGAAGGGAAACCAACAGGTATTATGTTGGATTTTGGCTCCAAAATTGC